TGTAACTCCAACTCCATTAAAACCCATGGAGTTACGCCAATAGAAATCAAATGCAGTGCTATCGATTTTGTGCTGGTGTGGCTTTATGGGCTGTAATGGAGGCAAGGCAGCTTTCTGCTGGTGGAGGTCAGAATGCAGCCAGGGTATGCTGGGTGGTGTCTGAGCATTTACGAGCTTGGGTTCTTGCTTGCTCTTACCCAGTGTTATCAGAAATTCTTTATCTTCTCTGCCTTGGGGTCAACAAAGGAGTATGTGCATAGAGGAAAGTCTGAATGAGGGGACAGCTGTTAGAATGAGGGGACAGCTGTTAGCACCCCATGGAAGGGGTGGTAGGTGCTGTGTCCCAGAGCTGAAGCTGGTGCTGGGCTGTTGGAAATCAGGCTGAGAGCAACTTTCAGTTTGAAAGCGCTGAAAGAAAAAGTACCGATATGTTTCTCTTGGTCTTCCAGCCAATTGGTGCAAATCTCTTTGGTGCTTTTTCTCTTTGCATCTTTAAAAGTATCTGAATATCCTTCCTTGGAGAAATGGTGAGCTGACATTGTGTAGTTTGTCACACCAAAGTTTGAAAGCATGTCTCACAAACTCTGTTACAGAAGTCTTTTTTGCTTTACACTTATTTTCTAGAATATGTGATATAAAATAGATATCTGTGTTATAAAATAGAAACTGTTATATTTGATGGAACTCTCAGTAATTTCCCATTCAAAATGTTTATGAAATCAGTTCATTCGTGTGAACAGTGTCTATTTCATCCAGTCAGCATTTTCTAAGAGAAGGAAATTTGCAGCACTTCTGGTGAATAAGCCGTGAAGTGCGATATTTGCCACTACAAGGAGTTATTTCCAGGAGGAATTTCAGTAATTATTCCTGCTGTCATTGGAATACTAATAAACACCTCACTTTGGAAATAAGCTGTAGGTCAATTTTTTGGCAAGATGCTGTTCTTGTTGTAAATCAGCTCTGGTAGTGCTGCGTGCACTATCTGAGGAGCGCATAGCATGCCTGGAGATGCCCTAGAGACAGAGTAATGAGACGTTGTAAACCACAAAGAACTTAATAAACTGGTATGGGCCACAGTTGCCTGAAGGTTATTTTGAAAACAGGGCTTTGAAGAACTGGAGATTTGAGGAACTCATCTTGTTGGAGGGGGAAAACCCAAGGATGGAAAACCTCCTGCAGCAGCACGGAGCTGGTGTGGCGTGTGCCGTCTGTGGGCAGGTCTCCATGCGAGGCTCTGTGCTCAGGTGCTCAGCCTCTGAGTAACAGTTCTGTCCCTGGATAGCAATCCTTCACACTTGAGCTGTTTTCAGTTTTCAAAGGTCTTTTAAAAATAATTTCGTTACTTATATTTTGCCCTTCCGATATTTCAGGTTTTGCTTTACACTTGCAAAGTATGTGCATTCATGTTCTTTTCACGTGATCATAGGGATGCTTTGGAGGAAAGGAATTTTAAAGCTGCGGGTGTCTAAAAGTAAGAGCTGAGGATGGCAGTAGGATTTCTGTCAAACCCCTGTGTGGGAGGTGCCAACCTCTCGTGAAGGACCTGCTGGATCCCACTCTGGGGCCATGGAGAACCTAAATACCTAGGGAATGCCAGGGCTTAGTTACAAAGCCTTCCTAAGGCTGCTTTTCCTTTACATAAGCAGACAGAAGCTGCTTTTAAGAGAGGGAAATTCTGAAGTTTTGAAGCCCTGAAGCCACAGGGAAGCATTCAGATCATGCTATGTGACCTCTTGTCCCTTGGGATGGGGGAAGCCCACCCTAAAGGCTCTCTGAGAGCTCAGTGGAGTGTGGCCAAGAAGACAAAGAATTGTGCAGAAATCGTGGTCTTACACACACACACAGCTGAGGAATGGGAGGTTCAACCTGTGCTAATCCTGACAGCAGAGGGAATCTACAAAAGTATTTCTTCACTGAGGCTTTAGGTCTTACGTTGGCGTAGGAGTAATACAGAATGCAGGCTTAAGACTTCTCTTGGAATTAAAAGCCAGTTAATTCCAAAATGCACCGATTGTGTTCTTGCTGTATCCACTTAATAAGGGAATAGAGAATGTCAGTATTTTGTTAAAACGAAGAGCTTGGAATCCTCTTTAGGAAAAGCTGAGGCATGCACATAGCATTGTAGTAGCTGGAACAGGAGCGAGGCGCACAAGAAGATCATTAAGAGCGGCTACATTCAAGATTAGAGCTTTTTAATATCATTGTTATCATTATTAAAAATGCTGCTAACAAAATTTTCCCTTCAGAGCAGGGAAACGTGGCAGATCTGCTCGAGGCTTGTGGCATCTCATTGCTAGAACACATGCTGCAGTACTCGCCACAGTTGGGAGGCTGTAGTATTTAACAGCAGTGACCTAGATTGGAGGAGACAATAAAAGCTGTTGCGGTGAGGAGCAGATTGACTGCCGTTCTCATCTGGGTAATAAACAACTGAAATATGGACAGGGTATGGAAGTTTACTAACGTAGCTTACATAAAGGCCTATACTTTGGGAGGAATTGTCGCTGTAGCAAATTCAGTTTGAACTGTAGCTTGATCTGACAGATGTTTATGTGTTCCTGTTACAAAGATGTCTATTGCTTTATTCAAGGATCTCTGAGCCTGGGAGAGTATGACCTGATTAGGTTTTAAAGTAAATCAATATGTGAACCTGTCCAAAAATAGACACGCATTTATTTTTTAAAATATTACTCAGTGGGAGAGCCTCGAGGGGATATAGCTTTTCTGGAGAGTTTCAAATGAGATGGCACTCATACGTTGTTGTCTTAAAATATTCAGTGCTGTTCAGATATTATTGCTCCAGCTATTCTGTTGATAGCAGCTGACAAGAGGAGATGAAATTCTTGGTGCTTTGTACCCAAACGCAGCCTTTAGGACTCTGAAACTTGCTTAACTCTTGACCCTATGGGTAGTTTGTATTTCGTTTAAATTTTTCTTTCTTCTGATTTTATTGTAAAGGGACCTATTAGAAATATTTTCCTTTTGTCAGGCGGTTCCTCTTGGTGCTTCATGCCAGCTAACCTTTAGGAAAACATAAACCCAAACTCTAGAAAAATAAACTGTCAATCCAGCTGTGACTTGAGAGATGCTTTAAGTAAGTGCCACTGAGCTGGAAAGGCTGATGCATCCCTACTGTGCTGTAAAGCTGAATATGAAATGGGGTTGTGCAGGGGGAGGGGATGGGGATGTAGGCAGCAGGGGACATCTGTTCTCTCCCTGTTTGCTGGGGGATTGCAAGGATTGGTGAAGAGCTGGCTCCTGCAGAGGAGTCCCACAAGCCCCTGCCTGTGGACTCCTTGCCTTCCTCCATTTCCCCTTGGTCAGCCTTCACTTGCATTTCCATTTCTGCTGTTTTCTTAACTAGCAACACCAACAATAAACGTTTTTAGTTTATTACAGCACACTGAGAAGGTGTATATAGCAAGCACTCCAGCTTAGATTTGTAAGTTGATTGGTTTTTTTCTTCCTCCTTTTTGCTCTTCTGTGCTTCCTCAGACTCCACAGAGGAGAAATGAGGAATTTCGTCTTTTGAAATCAGTTCAGCAGATTTGGAAAAGCTATCTCTGAATATTCTGTAACAGGCATACAGATTTGAAGAGCTTATTAAAGAAAACCCCTGACACACTTCAGCTATATTAAATCACTTCACAGGCTGCGTGGCAATGTAATGTTACTGAAGCATTTTAAAATGTGAAAAGAGGCTGGATTTGAAAGTACGAGTGGCTTCATGGCCCTTGCTGTGGGAAGTGATTTAAACTGTCCAAGTTATTTCAATTTTTAAGTGCATTACTTCCTTAAATTACTGAGAAGTGCCATTAGCAAATGTATTTAACTGCCGTTAATCTCTGGCCAGCTAACCAGCCGATATGCTGGGTTAATTTCTTTATTAAATGCTTATTTAATAACCGGGCACCTGTTCAGACAGTGCAGATGGACTTCACTGTAATTGCACTAATAATGGAGAACGCTTTCTCCAAAAGAAGGACAAGATGAAGTGTTCAATGAGGGAGCATCGTGAGAAATGGCTTTGGGACAGCGTGGTCTGCCCTGAGCAGGCTGACAGAGCAGGCAGCTCATTGTTCTGAGCAGGAAGGGCTGGAGCAATGCTTTAGTCTTCACTGAGTTGTTTAATCCTTGCTTATTGCTTGCTGATGCAGCCCAAGCTTCCCCAGCACACATCTGCTGGGGCTTCACAGCCGGAGCATTTCTGCATCTCACCAACAATAAACATAGCTTTCCCCAAATGCTACCGTTTTGCCCCTTGGAAGTAGTCCTATTGCATTTAAATCTTCTGTAAACTGTAAGTTGAATTAAGTGTATTTTCAAAGATGTGTATTTACAGATAGGTATTTGAAGGAATAAGTGCTAGGTGGGTGTAAGGAATTTCAACTTTGCTAAACAGAGGCAGATTCTTTTATACCTGAAACATGCACATTATCATAAGCAAGATGTATTGTGTGTTCAGTACAACAGATGTGTACGTTTTTCATTTGACTTTGTTCAAGTAATAGAATGGAAGTATTGAAAGAGCATTTGAGGAGTACAGATGTGAGTTTAATATCTGGCAAGATGTTTTCACCCTGTAATTGCACCATTTAAGAATTGAGATGCAGAATTTGTTGCTGTTGGTGACATTGCCATCTACTTCCCAGAATGTAATCCCTGGCCTCCAGCTGCTGGCTTGGAAGGATGGGGCTTTGTGCACTTCCAGTGTTATCTCTCACCCTTGGAGACATCTCCAACAGCCATAAATGCCCGTGTTTAATCATTTACAAATGCAGACTGTGGAATCAGGCATTCTCTGTCTGTAGATAGGGAATTTCATAGGCTTCCTGAGGTTGGAAAAGACGACTAAGGTCATTAAGTCCAATTGGCAACCCGTCACCGTCATGCTTACTAACCATGTCTCTCAGTAATCTTGCAATGCCTTATTATTATTGTTTTTATTGTTAATGTTTTAAACTCAGAAAATGACTGCTACTTTTTGTTTCTTTTAACAGCACTTGAAGGGACTGAATGAGATGAACTGTTTGGGTTGTAGTGTCTGAAAGGCTCAATTATTCTCTTGGAGACATATTCTAAATGAGCCTGACCGAGATACTGGATCTGTGTGAAGAGGACTAAGGATATAGGATGTCAACTGAGACAGAAATTCAAGTGGCTGTTAAAACCAGCACAAAGAAAGACTCCAAAAAGAAAGGTAACGTCTGGTTGCTCTTTATGTATCTCCTACCACCTTTTATGCATCTATGGTTCTTCTGTTGCCTATGCACTCCATGGAAAGAAAAGTTGTTAAGTCGAGTGGAAGTCTTGGCTGGTCTGAGAACGTATAATGTCAGAGAATCAAATCCTATATTACTAAAATATGTTTAAATTGGAAGGAGGAAATTCTGTTACCCTCCACTACTTTTTACTTTACTTGCAATTGTTTCACAAATGGAAACACGGCTAACAAAATGACTTTTATCAAAAGATAGCTGTTTTGCTTTGTTGATAAATACATTTTCTTCTGAAGTCTTTGTTTCTACTTCATTTTGAACTAACCAGAGCTTAAATGGGCTCTTTGTTGCTGAAGTTTCAGTCCTGCTGACATTCTGTGAAGTTACAGAAAACTCAGTAGCAGTCTATAGGGAGATCAGTCCAGTAAAGGAAATAGAGAAAAGGAGAAGGAAGACCCAGAGAATTAAGGGGAAGATACGAATAAATGCATGCTGGGGGATTTCAGATTTATAACTACAAATTTACATTAGATTCTAGGGCACTTATTTGGACTGATAAGCATGAGATGTGTGTTTGTATGAGCTCCTGAATAGGAGTTCTGTAAGACTTTGGTGGAGATTTTCATTCTTACATTTCTGTTGGTGTTTTTATTGCTCTTCTTTTTTAATACCATTGAACTTGGAAACCAAGACCTTGAATTCCAGTGGCAATTCATGTTGTTTATTGTAGCTGTTTTGTAATGTCATTGAGATTGAAGCTGAATTTAACGTGCATTACTAAAGCTAAAAGGACAAATAGTAAAACAGCAAAACCAACTCAATAATCTAACAGTTTTCATACTTGAGATAAAAAGATTGAAACTTGTGTGCATTGCAAATTGAAATCATGCTAGGTATCTGATAAATAACTTGTTTGACTTCTGGGCAGCTATACCATTTACTGTTGTGATTCTGCCAAGCTGGTGAAGACCTTGTGACTGGGACAGCTTTTGTATCAGAGATCTTGATATTAGACTATTGTAAAAGCCGCAGCCATGGAATGGTTTAAAGATGTATTTCAGTGGATGGCTTAGGGTCCTTACTACTGTAGGCTTCAAATCACATGGAAGAAGCGGTTCATTTGAGATAAAAAGAAGCTGTAGTTTGGGAAGACATAAATAGGGGAACTTTGATGTAGACGGGAGTGTGATCTGAGGGAGAAGCTCATCAAGGCAAGTAGAGAAAGTAAAACTGATAAATTTGAAAATATCAGGTTTTTTTTTAATGTCACAGCTAACATCTTTTTGATGTGGGTCTCCTATGTTATTTCTTCTGCTGGAGGGTGAAAGTTTTGCAAAGAGCAAACAGCTGTTATAGCAACTCGATGTTTGTTAATAAAATTTCATAGATCATATTAACAGGATGCTCTGCACAAAATCTGATTCTAGCCCCCACATGGAAAATCTGAGAATTACCTTTGCTGCTGAGGAAAAGCACAAAATACTTTCTGTGGCAGCAATCAGAGCTCTCTGCAGCAGGCAGAAGTGTCTAAAGAGCTAGAAGGGACAGTGTGCAGCAGTGCATCCCCAGAAATGATCATGCTCAGTGCTGTGGGCACATCTGCTCATATCCAGCCCTCTGGAAGCCTCGCTGTACATGGAGTGCTTCGGACAGATGAGGTGTACAGTTCTGACAGTGTTTGCTGTTCCAATCACATGCAGTGAAAAATCAAAAGGAATTTGTTATGTTCATTTGTTTGTTGCTGGGTTGTGTGTATTTGTGTGTATTTCAACAAATGAGCTCTCTGTTAAGTGTGAATGATGGATGTGTGGCAAGCAGGAGGCTTCTTTCCTGAGTTCATTACAGCAAGCAGCAGCAGGTAGCAAGCACTGGCATGAGGTTTCTTGTGTCTCTCATCAGCCAGTTTGATTATTCAACAGAGCTGAATACTCCCAAGAAACTGCTCTCTGCTTTGTAAACAGAACTTTCAGCTCTGATGTATTTTCAGTGGCTCAGGTTTTGTACTTCCGCAAGAGCCATACAGCTAGTTCTGTTCAACAGGTGGGAGGGAGGATCTTCCTACCCTTCATTTCTGCCCATCTGGGGGTTCTCCTGCCAGCTGCAGTAACAGCACTGCACTGAGACAGAGCAGTGAACTTCATAAGAGTTTCCTTGTCGAATGACTCCTACAGGTGTATCCCGTGCTGAAGATCTGTGCTGCAGATGGGGCGTGTGGCGTTAATGCTCCTGCATGGATATGGATTTTATGGGAACTTACTTTCAGAACAAAGGTCTCTTTCTGCAGTCATATGCAAAGCAATTCTCTTACAAGTGATTATTTAAAACATTTCTCATTTGACATAGTGTTTTTTACAGCCTTGGGTCTTAAAGTCCTTCCTGCAAGTCTCTGGTCTTTCTGTTATCATCAGAGCTGGTTTGTAAGGCAGTTTTCTGTTCTATTAGTAAGAGAATTCCTAGAGTTAGGAAAAAACTTACATGTGAAATCATCTCGGAAGCTGCCATTTAAGTAAAATCCAGCTGTAAAACTCCAGTGTTCTATAGAGAAGTTCAATACCAACAGATAACATCGAACTGTAATTTTTCAATCATAGTATTATCACTGTGGATAATCTTAAAAATAGGTTGTTGAAAGCCAAGTCCTTATTTTGCCTTATATTGACCTGACTGATGAATAAATGCTCCAGAATTTGATGGGCTCTGGCAAAGATAGTTGCTCGTGTTCTCAGCACACAGCAGGAGTTTAACTGACTGGAAGGTGTTGCTTTTTGCTCTGTGTATTGTCAAGGTGTTGAGCAGCTGGGGACCCATGTTTTGCTGTGACCTGCACAACCCTCCTTCCTTCACTTCACTCCATCTTATGAGCTTACAGCGCACTCGATGTTATTAGAGGAGATTATATTGCTGCCAACCCCAACCTCCAGCTCTAATCTTCGTGCCACTCTTGCCTGATATCTGCTGGTAGCTGTGTTGTAACCACGGTTTTTAAGAACTTGGTCAAATTCTAAAAGGTGTCCGGAAGAGGTTTCATGCTGGTCTGTGAAATGAAATCATGCAAAATCCTCAGGAGATTTAGAAAGCTCTGGTCTCGGACTTTCTTGGTGATTCCTTTTGGTGTGTGATCTTTGCCAGAAATCATGGATTCTTTAAGAATAACAACAAATAACATTCTAGTTAGTTTTTTTTGTTTGTTTGTTTATGTCATCTGGTTCACTGAGTGAGTGAATAAACATCACGTGTTTGTAGCATTCCTGTTGGGGGAAAAAAGAAGTTCTTATTAGCCAGAGCATTCAGATATATAAAACACGGTTATACTGTAGTACATGAGGGGGTAAAAGGCCATTTTATAAACTTGTACAGATTAATGAATCAAATTGAAAACAAATTGCCTTAAGCCTATTGGAATTAAAATTGATTTAGAAGCTTCTTCGGGGGAAACGTGATGCATTGATGGTGAATCCACACTGACGACTGCACTGCACGATCTGCTCACAGAAAATTAGACAGGAAAGCTGAAGAGGAAGGTTTGTAAGGGAGCGTGCCAGGATGCCAAATTTGAACTCAATCTATTTCTGCTTGTGGTAAGCCTGGAAACTTTTCTAGGCATTTGGTTTCATGCTGTTGCACTTGGATTCTGTAATTGTTCTATTGGAAGCTTAAGAACGTATTTGTTTCTTTCTTTGCAAAGTCAACTCTTACTGCAGTTGCTGTATGGCCTCTGTAGCAAGACTTGAGGCAGTACTGAAAATGACAGGGTCTTCTGAAAACAGAAGCAACTAAGTCAGGCCTCTTGACAACCACCATAGCAATCTTTGATGCTAAGGATCCCCATGGGCAAAATTCCCTTATTTAATAGGTTTCCACTGCAGTGCACTGAAACCACGTGGCATCTGGCAGCAGATTCCAAAGAGGTATGTTGCCAAGCTGGGGATTGCCTTCACCAGCCAGTAAGACGTGCAAGCTGGAGGGGCTGGGATGCAGTGCAGCTCTGCTGGAGCTCCTTACAGCCAGCACATTGTACTGAATGAATTTACAAGTTCCACAGCTGTGTTTGAGGAGGGAAGGAGTGAGTGGGCTTTGCTCAATGCACTTCCCAATGCCAGGTAAGGAATGACCCTGCTTGCCCTGCCAGGAACAGGGGATGCTCCCTGCTGTGCTCTCTTGGGGCTGGAAGATGTGAGTTTGATCCTATTGAAATCAGGGTTGCAAAGAGCATAAGCATCCTTCTTTAGTGTGTGACTACTAATTAAAAGAGAGTGCAGGGGCTTCAGGACCACACTCCTGTGTGTCAGATCAGGCTGCTGGCTAATCACATCCATTTCACAGATCCTCTAAACTCTAATGAGAGACTGAAGTCTATCTAGCCATCTGAAGGAAACCCTTTACATCCCCAGAAGCAAAACTGTAGTCATACTAAGATCAAACAGGACATTCCTACTTAGTTTAGAAGCCTCTGGGGATAAGAAGCCCTTAAACAAGGTTATGTTCTGTCTTTATCAGTTTTGATCATAGGTGTCTATTGCAGCCCAAGTCTTCCTTGGGGTTTCTTAGATCTCATTTGAATCTTGTCTTTAGCCTAATCACTATGAAATTTGAAGTTTCTGGTTGACATGAAAGTTACATTTTTGCCATACCTGGAAATCTTTGCAGCTTCGTTTCAAGACTGACACTTTGCTTTACATCAATAAGCTTTATGAACGAGGACAGTCGATGCATTTTATTTCTTTATTTTCCTGCATTGCAATCAACTAACAACAATTAAAGCATCGTCACTGTAATGAGGCGTTCCCAGCTGTCAGACTGTTCTGAGTTCATTTATTTTTCCGATTACATAGCGAAGATTCATGGAAACCAGCAAAATTCAAACTTGATCTGAAGAGTAATGAGAGAGGAGCACAGTCAGGAGCTCATTTCATCGACGGGGAGTGGATTTGCTTTGTTTCCTCGCAGTAGTTGTATGAGTTCTTCAATAATTTATAGATCA